ACCTTGTCAGGGTGCTTGCCCGTGGAATCAGGTCCGCCATTATTGAAAGTGCCCGTTGAGTAATTTAAAAGTTTGCCCCAAGTCCCAACTTGTAGTCACCCATTGAGCGAAAGCGATGTATTGAGGTCAAATTGATTCTTTATAATAACAAGAAATCTGGCTTAAATCATGGGGCTTTGGTAGAGATGACAAGGTGAAACAATCGATTACAGGGTATCTTGAAATAAGAATATTGTTATTAAAACATTTACATAAATAATTTATATATAACATAAATAAAAATAAATTATTTTAATATTATAAAAGAGCTTATTGATCACTATAGACTTTTTCCCATCTCTATGTGTTCACGCCAGAAAGGCGTTTAATTTCGGGAGGCAGTGTGATCCCGAACGCTCTCCTTTTCTCTCCCTCTTCCTCCGGACTTCCAGTCCCTAGAGCTTCTAATCCGCTCTCCCTAGCTTTAGTTTCGATTTTGTATTCAGTACCAATTTACCTACGACTAAATAAACATCCCGACGCACGTCGCGTAAAACCCCGACAAGTTCTACGTGTTATTATTTATCGAGTGCATTTCAGCTTAAAGCCGCCCCCCTCCAACATTTGGTCCATCAGAGCCGGATTTTTCGTCGCATCTACCAGCAGCTCCGGTGGCTTTAACACCGCACCAGATAAGTCCATTATATTATTGCTGCCGGTCATACAGTTAGGTATTGCGAAACTCAATTCGTCTTAACTTCTCTGTATGATTATTGTCTAAATCCAAGTCCGATTAATCCGACACTACGGCAGCGTAATACCTTCCAAAAATCCAAAATAATTCGGTATTCATTTCCTACATTTGTGCCAAAATCCAAATTGTGTGTGTAAATAAATGCAATAGCCACAGTGAGAATTTAATTCCAATAGTTCTCAATTCCTCTTCGTTAACTGTGTTCCTGCTAGCATTTATTTACATTTACATACATATACAGTCCACTCCACAAAACTACAATCGCTGTCAACATTGACATTTCCCCAAATCGAGAAATTATATCCAAATAATTTCTATACAAGATCTACGGGTTCCAAAATTCATAAAGTGTTTGTTTAAATAAATGCCTAAGCCACAGTAAAACTTTCCAATTACGAATTATTCTTAATTCCTTCTCGTTTACTGTGTTCCCGCTAGCATTTCTTTACATTACATACATACTACAAATACAGTCCACTTCACTCCGAAACTTATATTTACAAATTTACAACAATAACTGTCCGCAGCTACTAAAATTACAAATTTATTTAATTCGTACATATATTTGTTTTTTTTACTCCCTTGCTCTATCCTGAGCTGAACTCCACCTAAGCAATTAAATATACATATGTACATACATACATAAATCGCCTGCAAGTCGACGCTCCAATATTTGGCAATTTTTTCCGCCTCTCCTTATCTCCACTATTTTGCACTTGCATACGACAAGTGCACAAATATACACACACACGTATTGGTTCCAAAATACAGCACCGGTCAATCGAATAAGACCAGACAAATAAAATAATTTTAAATTATTTAAAAAAAAAAAAAATTCCAACTAACAAATTAAGTTAGAAATCCAAGTGTGCTTCCATACGCATTAGTGTGACCATATTTTCGCTGCTGACCGGAATTATTGAATTTATTCAAATATTCCCGATTTAAATTCCATACGTGAAAAATACGATTTTCCACAATTAATTATATATAATAATTATTTCAAAAATAATTATTACGAGTCCGATTGGTTCCTAAAATCCCAATCCAACTTCGACCTATAAATTATTTTGTAACATATACATATTTATAGTAAAAATTATAAAGAAATATTCAGAATGGCTCCTTCAATTTTAGACAAATTTACTTTGATCTGTGACCGCCTAAGTAACTTCGAGTCCCGAGTCTGCAATCCAGCAGCGCCCACTCCATCCAAATACTCTTGCCAAATCCATCTCGACCAAGTCCGAGCGCTATGGGATAAGGTCGAGAAAGTGTACGAAGATTGTTCAGAGCTGATTTCAGTTGGGTTAGAGGGCGCGGAGGACACCTTGCCTACTCTTAAGGCAAAATACGACTACTCCTATTTTATTTACGGACGGTGTGCCGCCCAGCTCATGGAACAGATCGATACGATCTCTGCTAAAGCAGCTCCAGTCCAACCTCCTGCGCCCCAAAATTCCTTTCCGTCTGGCTGTCGGCTTCCTCCGTGCGAAACGGAAGTTTTCTCGGGCGATTATCTTCGCTGGCCGACTTTCCGGGACCTTTTCACAGCGGTCTATATCGACAATCCTACGCTGACCCCTGTAGAAAAGTTGTTCTATCTAAATGCCAAGACTAGTGGTGAAGCTCATTCTATAGTTTCCAATTCGCCACTCACCAATGACGGTTTCCGCTCAGCATGGGGAAACCTAACTGAGCGTTTCGAAAATAAACGCGCGTTGGTGAACAGCCAACTGAAGAAATTACTAAACATACAATCCATCGAACGCGAATCCTCGGCAGCCTTGAAGGAGCTGCAGAATACAATTCAAAATTGCCTCACATCTCTAACTCTGTCCGGCCTTCCTACGGATAATTGGGATTGTCTATTGGTTTATTTGTGTTCCTCGAAGCTTCCAAAGCTAACGCTCTCCTTATGGGAGCAATCCTTAACAAATAAAACCGATATTCCGTCGTGGCTAGAACTCGATTCTTTCCTTACTGAGCGCCATAGAACTCTGGAAACCATCGATTCTCTCCAGCCTCCTACGATATGCCTCCGTTCGTCTAAACCGACAATCTCCAACCAGTCGCCACGAGTACTACAATCCTTTAGTACGCGGATTGTTCGCTTATCCAAAAGATGCGATTTGTGTTCTGCAGAGAACCATCCAGTGCGTAAATGTCCACGCTTCCTCCAAATGACGATAGAAGATCGTACTTCATACATTGAGAAAAAGCAGTTGTGCTTAAATTGCTTTGCAAGCGGTCATCCACTCCGTAATTGTACAAGCGCCCACAACTGTCTGACTTGTCACGGTCGGCATCACACATTGTTGCATCCAAGCAACACTTCATCCAGTGTTCCGAATCCTCGTGATAACGCACCACAAATTCCTGCACCCATCCAAAGGATTTCCTCGTTCTCCACACGAGTGACCACTTCTGCCGATTCCTCCAATTACTGGGTTCCATACGACGATAGCAAGAGCAGACGTTCCCGAGGTATTTTATCCTACCAATGCCGAGTCTGCCAAGGGAACCATCCTCTTCGGAAGTGTCACCGTTTTCTCCGGCTTGATGCGAAGAAACGGCTCCAGACAGTCATCGACAGGAAGTACTGCGTCAACTGCCTGGCCCACCACCATTCCGGAGGATCCTGTCGAAGTAGCGACCGATGCCAGTCGTGTGGACAGGATCACCACACTCTTCTCCATACCAACGAGTGCTCAGCGTTATCCTACGTTTTCCAGAGCTAATCCTTCCTGTTACTTTTGCTGCGTATCCTCGCAAGGGGGGAGAATGTTCACGCCAGAAAGGCGTTTAATTTCGGGAGGCAGTGTGATCCCGAACGCTCTCCTTTTCTCTCCCTCTTCCTCCGGACTTCCAGTCCCTAGAGCTTCTAATCCGCTCTCCCTAGCTTTAGTTTCGATTTTGTATTCAGTACCAATTTACCTACGACTAAATAAACATCCCGACGCACGTCGCGTAAAACCCCGACAAGTTCTACGTGTTATTATTTATCCGAGTGCATTTCAGAGTTAAAGCCGCCCCCCTCCAACACTATGCTTTAGTGTAAGCCAGTTTCTGAACAACTGAAACTTGTTGGTTCCTGTCGGCCGATGCATGCAACCGATTGCCTCTGGAGTACATAAAATTCCTCAATAATTCCGACTTGAGCTGAAAAACAGCAAAAGTTTCCTCCCGGCTTTGTAGTTCATAAAAGACCGAAATAGAACCTCCTACCAAATTTGATTGCCCCAAAATAAGATTAGTGTTTGGGGGCCAGCGAAATCCGCTTTTATTACCGAACGCATTAAATATTCCTGCGTCATTGGTCAGGGCGGCCGGCTCATGGGAAAAGGAATTTGTGGTGCGTGGAAATGGAAATGGAAAAAGGCAATCTGAGGGAGGTTGGGGAAAGGACTATGTAGACTGGGATTTGTTTTACAATTCAGTCACGCTCCTTGCTCGTTTCTTTTTAGATTTCGTGCCCACCTTTTTAATTAATTTCTCCTTTCGCCGCTTTGGCGAGATGAGAAGGCCATTTATGCGCTTCAAAGGATGCTCGTTAGGAGCTCTCTGCCGCGCTAATGGTGATGTCCATGCAAATCAAAATGGCGACACGCCGAGTTCCGTTTCCGGCGCACGCTTTGTGCTCCCTGCTGCTCTTTACCTCTCTTCCTTTGCCGTTGCTTCGCACGCCCCAAGTTAATCCTTCGTCCTGCACATTTGTCGCATGCGTTAATTTATGTTTGCCTAGTTTTAGTTTTCAACTTTTGTACTTAATTAGCATAATGAGAAGTTCTCGGCTGCCAGCGTTATTGTTCTTGTTCTCCCCGCTGCAACACCCGAAACTACTTCAGCAGGAGTGCATTTAGTTAGTTTGTTGACTTTTCGAGTGTCTGGCAGTTGCACACTTACAGCGCAACTTTGATCAAACATTGAAGACTTTGGGTATTTAAGTAATGCTTAAAGCCGCCATTGAAGCCACGTAAATTAACTGCTAAAAGCTTATTGAACGCCTTATAAATTTATAATTAAACTGTAGTCTTCAATGTCCTTTAAAAATGGGACTTCTTAGCTTCTTCTGTCAACCACATAATCCCTATTTGAATAAGGACATTTGAGATTCTTAACAGTTGCCGTTGCCTCTGGCTCTGACGAGGCATTCAAAACTTCATAAGGCCCATGAAAAGTTTTCCTTAGGGAGCAACTGAGCAACCCATTCACATATTCAATTAGAGTTACAACTTCAGAAAGTTCAACGGCAATTTGTGTGCTCTATTTGGGGCTTTTCGGGCCAAAAGATTTCATTAATATTAAAAGAGAGGGAATTCTTTCTATGGCCACAGAAACTACTATAAATGAAACGCTTGTCAGTGCTTCAAGCGCACATAACATACAGAGGAGAGAACTTGGCCAAAAGGGCGAACTTTCGCAACTCGGTGGGCAGCCAGCTGTGCAATTTGCTGGCAGAACTTAACAATTTGTGTCTGGAAAGCAGAGGGACGATTGGTTGCAAGTCCTCTCCCAGCCGGCATAAGGGGAGTTGGCCAAGTGCCCCGGCTTCTGCGGGTCCTTAATCTGATATTTCGCCCTCTTCCACCGAACTCTCACTACCCTGGTCCTTAGTGAGATCAACAGAGGTTTCTTCGGGCCGGGGTCTCTTGGGTTTCGTTCCCCAACTACTGGAGCGGAGCGCCCTATGTAACTGCTGCAGGTCCACCATCGGCTTGGGCATACATTTAGGTTGAGGCACTTTTTTGGGGTGGAATCCGGAATGGTCTTCGTCCTTCCAGACAGTGGTTTCTCCTGGTTTGAGACGATCCACCCATTCGTACTTCCCTTGGGCCATGGGCATCCAGAAGACAAGCAGCTGGTCGCTGCTCACGAACATGGTAAGCTGGGGATTGAAACGCAGACATCGAACCGCTCCCACATTGTTGCCCTTGAGTACGGCCACCGGATTGCCGTTGTCCGCTCGCCAGATATGAACCCTGCCCGCGTCAGCGCCGGAAAGCACGAACTGGGAGTCCGGTGAGTAGGTGGCCTCTAGGAACTGCCTCTTATCGTTGCCAAAGCCCGTAAATGACTGCATGTACTTCCCGTCAAAGGCATTGACGCTGAAGCACCAGGAGTGATCGGTGCATAAGAGGAGGCTCTTTCCATCCGGCGAGAACTGCAGTTGTGTCCACTTCGCGCTGGCACTGAACTGGTAGTCGAACTTTTGGCACGGCTCTTCTCCCAGCATCCGCACATCGTGGATCTCGATCCGCTCCGTACCCGAGCTCGTGGCAAACACGAGTCCTGCCGGATCAAAGGCGCACAACGGTCTATGCAGCTCCTTCAGGTGGTGAATGTACGAGGAGGACCGGAAGTCCCATACAAAGATCTGGTCATCGCGACCGGCGCTGAGGAAGATGTTCTGGCTTCCCGGCTGAGAAACCAGAATATGGGCAGACCTTGAATGGGCATTAAAGAGGCGGACGCAATGGCCGGTCTCGAGATCCAGGCATCGGATGGCGCAATCGTACTGGATGGTAAAAAAGGACATGAAAAACTAAATTAATTAATTATTGAAATAATAAATATTAGAACTATAAATAATTAAGAAACTCTTTAAAGGGGTCTCTTTCACCCTTTTGCAAACTTCTCAGAAATTATATAAATAATTTCCAGGACTTTGTACCAGAAAGAAGTTAAATTGAGGGAAATTCTTAACAGAAATTCTCGGAAATTCGGGGAATTCTTCAAGTGAAATGCCTTGCTCCCCCTATACAACATTATGAAACTCCTTAGAAAAACTCTTACCTTTGAGGCAGAGTGCAGAGCACGAGTGTCCTGCTGGGCGAAACAGGCCACCTCCGGCCTGTAGTGTTGGAGGTTGACCTGACAGAGCGTTGCTTGGCGGGCACAGTTGTAGATGGTCATCTTGGTGGGGTAGCAGGTGAGAAGACGTCGTCCGTCGCGCGAGAAGTCCAGGGAAATGGTTTGCTCTTCCGCCTCCTGGAACACCTTGGCAACGCGAAACTGGCACATGGCATTGTCGGTTAGCTTTATAGACATCTCACAGAACGCTCTGGACTCGATTGGCAAAAAATTCACCTGGTCAAATATGACATTAAAAGCACAGTAAACCCATCTTTGGTTCCAAACTTCCTTCCGACTTTGATATTAATATTTCATGAATTCAAGATCTATCCAGTAACCTCGAGTCTGAGTTCGCTTAACATCAACTTAATTAAATTAAGAGTTGAACCGGCTGGCACGCCCCCTTTGAAACGCCCATGGCCACAGCTGGGGATGCAGTCTAATTTCCATTTCACAACCAAGCAAGTCCCTGATTGCCTGGTTCCTCCTCATTGCGTCTCATTAGGGCCTGACCGACTGGCTGGTGGGAATCGAAGGATAAAACAGTCTGCTGAGTTGGCAACGCAACCAGCTCCGCGACTGCTCTATCTCGCTCCACTTGTTGACCAAATGCCAGCCGCTCGTTATTTAGGCCGATTTGCGTCATTACTGCAGCGGAAGACCCGAGGAAACCCCACCATCCACGTCCATTTGAAATTGGAAACAAATGTTGCTTTCGCCGGAAAGCCCAAAAGATGAGTCTGGGCAGCATCTGTGCAAGCATTTCTGGCAGCAATAATCAAGGGAAATTATACGAGGAAAATATAGCTTTCGAAAGAAGAAAAAATTGAGTTGACTTGATTATTTTAGGATTTGAGTTTATTACTAAGATTAAATAAACTTCCTCCAGGAAATTAAAAATGATAACCATGTTAAAATAAGTTAAAAAATGTTGTAAATTAATTCTGTTGATTATATCGTAACAACTACCCTGGCTAATAACTCAACCAGAGCTCTGGGAATCGGCGCTCAGGACAGATGCCTTGGATTCGCCATCAAAATGCAGATTTGTGCAGCGACCTCGGACTTAGCACCTGGCCCGGAGATTGTGGTCCTCCGATGGTGACCCTGGGAAGGCGGGTGCGGATGCGACTTGGCAGCCAGCTGCCCCGGAGGCAAATGTAATTGTAATGTAAGCGGAAATAAGCGCCGCGAGGACACGCAGTGCTCGGTGCTGATGACGCGCGGTGCCCTCCCATCTGGCGGCGCATTTTAATTAAAATTTATAAGCCTCGGTCGGGGATTTGGCACTGAGCCACAGGATGTTGATGCTGGCAGGACCCCAGGCGGCAGCAGGAGCGCCATCCGAAGGCGTGGCGTTTTAAGCTTTTAAGTTGCGGTGGATTTGCGAGGCTACGAATCGGATTTTATGTGAAAATCAACTGCGGTGCGCATAAATTAAAAACCAGGCAGGCTACAAACAAAAATATGGAGGGGTTTGGATTGGAAGGCTCATTTGTAATTAATTTGCCGTATTAGCTGGCTGGCTCTCATAGCCACAGGTATTTGAATTGATCCCAGGTGAAAAACAATACGCAAAAAAATGAAACAAAAAATTACCTCGCAATTTGCGCATTTGCGGCTTTGCTTGTCGAATTAAATTAATTTTATTTAAACAGAAACAATTTCGAATTATTATTATTAGCCATTTCAATGGCTATTGCCATAATTGGTTTCGATCAAATGTTATTAACAATATCAATTTCTGTTTATTGGTGCTGAAAAAATATGGCAGACAATAAATAAGTGACATTGAACCTATGGATGCTTTAAATGCGTTTGAGTTAAGAAAAAAACACACAACAGAGTATATAATAAGGGTTTTAATTTTGATTTAATTAGTAAAGAATAGAAACGTTTTATATAACTATTTTATATAAATGGTTTACAAATAAGTAAACCTTTGCATATTTAGAAAAACATTATTTTAAAGGTAAATATGTTAATACCTTTAAACTGATTTACTTTTAAAAATAATATTTCAAACTTCAATTAGAAAAGTTGCATATGTTTAGCTTGTATTTTATTCGAGTCTGTTAGTTCCATTTAAAACAACATTTTAAGCTTTTATTAGCCCAACTCGCATTGTATTTCCCCTCGGCCCCTTTAACAAACACAAATGTGTTATTAACTAAGCCATTTCCATTGAATGCAGCCATCTCTGCTGCTCACTCACCGGCAATCGTCACCCATTTCGCTTGCCAGGGATTAATGTCCCGGGTGTCCTTATCAGTGGCCAGCACACACAATCGGGCCAGGAGCAGGAGCTGCAAACTCTGGTGGCCATTAATTGCCGCCTTTCGATTATCCTTGGACGCTCAGCTCTGTGTGCCACAAATATCCATTTGGCTGCCGGCCAGATATCCTGGTCATCCAGCCAGGATTTCTGTCTGTGTTTGCAAAGCACTGTTTATTGATATTTTATGCGCCGTTCGGCGCTGCAATTGCTCTAATTGCAATTTTAGGCACGTTCCCGGTCCATTTGCATAACACGAGTTCGCAATTTAATTGTTCAAAGCCTGGGTGGCAAAAAATAGATTCAAATTTTCGGCACATGTCATCGAACGTGAGCTGAGAGAGACGGCAAAAAATCGGAATTATAAATCTGCTGTGGATTGCATCATGTATGGCTGAATTCGAGGGCCACGCCAATGGATTTTTGCTGTTATGCCAAAGTGCAATTTGTTGTCATGTTTTGTATGAATTCCTTAAAAGAGCATAAATTTTACAAGGCCATGGAAGTGTCTAGATTATTAAGGACCCAAGCAGCGTCTCACTCGACTTGGCCCAGGATTAAGTGTCAAAATGGCAGCACCACACTTAAAAATTTGTGCAAATTTTTCAATCACATTGGCTCTTTGCCGCTCAGCGGGTGTGAGTGTCAGTAAATCCTAGGCACTGTGCGTTTGTCAAGCTGGCAGGCAGCTCTTCTGAAGCAGGATCAGGCACAACAACAATTGCAGTTCACAAGCCAGGAGGCGTAGGGCGTCGAAACCAAAGCCAAAGTTCAAACACAATTTCTCAAATATGCACAGGCATGTGCCGAAATGTATGTGTATTTGATGGTGTTTTTGAAGGTACACTGAAAGAATATTTAATTATTTAAATATTTTTAAAAAGGCTACCAATAATCTGCTATTTAAGAAAATTAAATTCAGACTTTAAATTTAATGGGACTGTTTATAAAAATAACTTTCAAAGGTCTAATAGCATAACTTACTTTAGTTTATAATTCATTTTGAAATTCAATTACGTGCTGTACAGGTAATAGTTTTTTTGAACTGTGTAAAGAAGTAAATTTATTTTTAAGCAAATGAAGCTTATACTTTCTAAGTAAATACTTTTTGAATGGTCTCTAGGATTTCTTCTCCCATTTCTTAATAAAATAATAATTTAATTGGCTTTATTTTTCTTTGATAATCTAGGCATTTCTCCCACTGTAAGCCCCATTCTCTGCTGTACTTTGCATGCGTTTGTGCCTGTCCGAATGCGTTCCTCATGCGTTGCTCAGCAGCTGCCTTGCACCTCTGGAATTGAATGGTGCACGGCCACGCCCTTGCAAGCCGTAAAAGAAGATAAATGGCAGAAGTGAGCCATATCAGACACAGCCAGCAGGCCAAACAGCTCTAACTGCTTTGCATTTGGCCTGCAGCCGCCGGCACAATTTGCCATCTTAAGGCTGCAGACGTCAGCCGTCATCAAAGGGAAGCCTCTCAGTGGCTGCCTCAGCCCGAGCTCCTCGGTTCCCTGGTCAACTTTGCATTTGATTAAAAGCGGATAGCCGCCTCTGATGAATTGCGCATGTGACAGTGGCTCTTTTCCGACCGTGCAAAATCAAGGCAGACGCTGCGTATACGTAATACGTATGCGTACTTTCCCATTTCCCCGCCACACACTCCACACCATCTCACCTTCGCCTTTCACAATCTCAATGGGCATGAGGGAGATGAAAAAATTTAATTTAATATTCATATGACTGTAAAACGCTACAAAAGTCGCAAAAAATGAAATGGACAGAAAATGCTCGTTAAAAAAGGTACAAAAAAAGAAAAGAAAATTACTGCGAATGTATGAATAAAAAGGAAAAGTTGGAGATATCCTTGTGTCAAAACGAGAGAGAAGTACGCTTTTGGTTTTATTTTTGTACAAAGGAAATGTAACTGCTGCAAATTAACATGTAAACTTTATAACTTCCATTCTCTCGATAATAATAAAAGTAATTTTGTATTAGTTTGAACTCCATTTAATATATTTTTGCACTTCTCTAAACAACTTGTAATAAAATACTTTTTAAACTTTTTGTAAAGTAAATATAATTTCCATCAAGGACACAGTTTATTATGCTCTAGAGAGTCATACCCTACACCGTTGGGCAGTTGAAATACTTGCCGTAATATCTGTCCTCCAGAAATATGACACTGAGCTCCGGGAAGGGGTGGCATTTTGGCGGGCGTGGCAGCCGAATTGCGCCACCAGAACGTCATACAAAGTAAACACCGAACTCGGCTCTGACAGTGGGCATGAAAATTTATTGCCTTCACCCTGGAATCCCGGACACCCTTACATCCCAGACTCCGCCGGACTGCCAGGCGTTGGAGTTCCAAATCCGCGGCGCATTAAATTTCGGTGGCACGGCGATGTCTGCCATGCAACTCGGTGTTCCGTGGCCCTGACAAAAGTTGCAGCTCTCGGCATGCGGGTAAAGAATTGCGGACGCAAATGAAAATACTATACAGGGGTATAAATTGCAGAACAAGGAAGAGCTGTTGAGGACCTCTTTGCTGTATGAGTCCAGTCGCCGTTCGAAATATATATTTTTTAATATGCATAAATTGTACACCTATTTTATTTAGTTTTATTTTCAGATATTCCACAAGCAAGGCTATTATCGGAGATACTAGTGAATACCCTTTACTACTTTGGTAAAAAAAATATATATATATTATAGTTCTTATTCTTCAGAAATGCATTATCTGCAAATAAAGCTTAAATATTTGATTTTACTTATACAAACTTTCTCAATGTGTGTCGTTTAGTATTGTAAATACCTTCTTGAATTGTCGGTTCTTTTGTGTTCATATAAATCGAATAAAACCCTGGTGTGTATACATTTTATATGGTGACACCGTCTACATATTTATGATTTTTTCGCGAAAAGCTGGAAATGAATAACCAGAGCGCAAAAAAGTTAAGAAATAAAGCGG